CAGCGTTCACCCTGAACCACAGAATTCTAGACTGTGATTATAACAGAATTTTAGAATAATTCTAAGAATTCTGTGCCAGGAACAAACATTCCACAGCGCTTTTGTGTTACTACTGTTTGACTAAAAGCGTGCAATTTTGTCTGTGGGCAGTGGAGAGAGAGAGAGAGAGAGAGAGAGAGAGAGAGAGAGAGAGAGAGAGAGCGAGAGAGAGAGAGAGAGAGAGAGAGAGAGAGAGAGAGAGAGAGAGAGAGAGAGAGAGAGAGAGAGAGAGAAGTAGCGCGAGAACTTTCGGGCAAAACAAAAAGGCGACCCGCGTATTTTGGCTTGATTCGAAAAGTTCTATAGCCGTAGCATTGTTGTAGACGACTAAATTAATTTACTTTTGTGTTTTAACTTCATTTTTAAATTTTGTTTTGGTCAATTTGATCGTCCACACCGATAGACAGTATTCAGAAAGAGACTCAAAGAGAGAGAGGGGAGGAAAGATCTTACGAGAACTTTTATTTAAGCAAAACAAAATGACGACCCCCGTAGTTCGGCTCGATTCGAAAAGGGAAATAGCCTTGGAGGAACTATTAATAGGAGAGGGCGCGAGTCGCGTAACGTGAAGCCGCTGCAGACGACGGTCGGCCATGTTTGCGAGATCAGCTCAGTTCTCTCAGTTGTAAACTTAGTGTCGACCGAATGGCAGTTTGCGTAGCGTTCGGGTCCGGTGGGCCTCTCATTCAAAGGTCCTGGGTTCGAATCCGAGTAGTGACGGAAAAATTTTGTTCTCTAAAATTGTACTTTCTCTTTCATCTGCTTTCATCTCCACTTTCTGCCCCTACCTCCTCAGGGCTCCGGACTCTTTCTGCAGCCTTTCTACTGCTACTCCTTGGCTCCTTCTTACCTCTGTCTTTCAGCCACACCCCTGATCTTCTGGTAGGAAAGATCTACCCCTAGCCTTCTCGGACAAGGGCGAAAAAATCTCGGAGGTTGCGTATGCAAGTTGCGCTAATTAAAGGTCCCTTGGTGGTCTAAAATCGATAAAAGTAGGCTTCGGTCGCCACCCAGGCAAAATTCAAAATTTCCTACCAACTTAAAATGTTTAATGTGTCCCTCGCACTCATATGACTTATGCAGTTGCGAGTGTCGTAAAACACTTATAAGACCTACGAAAAATGTTTTAAAAAATATCAGTCTCCAGCAATGGCACTGAACTTGATGACGAAGTGCCTTCTGATTTAGCCGTAAATGCATCTCACAGTAAAAACAGAATGAAAAAAGATTGCAGAAAATTCAGTTTGCCACGTGTGTGCCTAGATCTAGTCTAGCATACTTGTCAATTTGCTCTGCATGTTGCTTACATTGCTGGTTTTGTGTTGTTAAGGTTGACAAAGCATTTGAAAATGTGAAACCTGCATCGGTGCCTTTGCTGACTCCAATGTGTCAAAAGTAAATTCCTTGCTGTTTTTTGAAGTCTCTTCGGAGGTTCGACAGTGCCTTCAAAGAATGTCATTGAAGTGTGTTTGGTGTGTGAATAACATTTTTGATGCCATATGTCGTCTGTCTGTGCAGGGGGTGTGACATTGTCAAGAGAGAAATGTAATAAATTAGTGCAATCTGTTTTGAAAATCTTATTATTATAAGCCTATCATTTCAAATTCTCTATTAATTTTTCAATACCCTTAACAGTATTTTGTAAAATTAGATAAAGTGTCTGGGTGTTTTAAAGGTGCCCCTCCCTCCTCGCTTTATTTGGGGGGGGGGGGGGGTTTTATTCTTGTTTTTTGTTGTTGTTGGGGTTTTTTTGTGTGGGGGGGGGGGGAATTTTCACCATCATACTTCACTCTTATCTGCCTTGCCCTCTCCTTCCCTCATTCTTCGCCCATCCCATCCCACCCTCACTACCATCTTTTGTGTAATCATTTTCAATTTTGTTAGAAATATATTCTGTTTTAAGTTTAAGTCAAGAAGACTACGTTTTTGTAAAAATAATGTCAGTGATGACATCATTTTGCACTGATGAAGTTCTATGACCGAAAAGTCTGCAAATTTTGTTATCCCGTTTATATTTTTGTTTTGATCCTTATTATCCCAATTTCTTCTCTGAAACAAGTAAAAAATTTTTTATCTTACCGTCACAATGTGTATACATAGTAATGTATTACCAAATGTTCGACTGAGTGAGCTGGTAATTTGATGCAAGTAAGATTTCTTACTGTCCTTATTATATTATTACTATCAAGAAGTCTTCGTTTTTGTAAAAATAATGAAGTTCGACTTCCAAAAACTCAGAAAATGTTATCATCCCGTTTATAATTTTGTTTTGATCCTTATTATCCCAATTTCGTCTCTAAAACATGTAAAACAGAATATCTTACCATCACAATGTGTATACATAGTACAGGTATTACTGTAAATATTCGACTAAATGAGCTGGTAATTTGATGCAAGTAAGATTTGTTAACATCCTTATTACATTACAACTGTACGTGAGTGCTTATAATGCTGTAATTAACATTGACAAAGAAATTTTGAGAGACAATGGAGTCCGAGCAGCTTGTTTTGAAAGGAGATTACGCTGCGTACGCTGCATTGTTTTGAACTTACAAAGATGGCGGCAGGCCCGATAAGCTCCGCCCTTTCGGCTTCAACTTGGTTGGAACTGTTGAGCGGGCGACGCAACGTTAGGGCCTCTCCCTATATAGTTACTCCAAGGAAATAGCCATACAGACCTGCTACTCTATGAAATCTAAAAATCAGGATTTCTGAGTTAAAAAATCAGGATCTGGTGAATAAAATCGGGATCAACGGCAAATCAGTCATAAAGGGCACTGGGGAAGGCGGGGAGTGTCCTGGTTCCCTTTAAAGGGGCAAGTATGCAAGGCAAAACTTTGACAGCATATATGTACTCGAGTCGAAGTTAGATAGACTGGGGGAGCGAAGGTCGCAGTGATGCTGAAACACTCGTAGTCTTGAAAATAGCTGACACGTAACTCTAATCATCCACGCAAAACGCCCGCGTTTTAACAACGTTTGACTTCCATCACATCGAAAAAAAGATCGCGCCAAGGTAGTTCATTTTTTTTTCTTATTCCTTTCCCCTTAATTAGTACCTGTATCACGGCACGCACTTTAAGCCCAAGTGTAATACCCCCACCCCCTCCCCCCGGCCGTCCACACTGGTTAAGTCCCGAAAAACACCTCGACCAACGCGACCGGTGTGAATGAACTTTGTTGACCCCGACAACCGCCGGTCCCCGACACACGCACTACTCACCACACGTACGAGGTCAAGTCATGTGATGCGAGTGAGCGTTCAAAACTAGGTCGATTTTAGTTTAAATAATGTACGTTAGCCATCTACTAGACCTAGATTCGGCATAGACGCTTTAGAAAATAGCGTTCCAAGTTCCTGCATATAAAAAGTCCAATCGGTGTTTCCAAGCAAAAGAGATTGCAGAACTTTATATATTTTTTTCTAAGAATCGGACGCAACAGACGAAACCACGAAAAATCAGGATACTGGCGATCGAAATCGGGAAAATCGGGATGCTTAAGATTTGGGGCAAAAAATCGGGATGAGTTGCAGGTCTGGCCATAGCATCTTTGTAGACGATCAAATTAGATCTAGATCTAGGACAGTCTAGGTTATTTTTGGGTGCTTTTTCGGTAGTTCCCACCCCCCTTATTTGAGCCTGACCTACATCTAGATCTAGATCTATACGTTTGATTCGCGGTGAGCTAAGATATCAAACCTAACAACTGCAAAACAATAAATTATGGTAAAACGTCATTTTTTCTTTGCATTTTCACTTGTCAATTCAATATATCTGATCATCCACACCGATGACACGATGATAGACAGTAGGCCTATTCTGAAAGGCCACCTCTATTTCACCCGGAGTGAGAATAGTGCAGGCGAGTCTTGTGGCTATTCTCACCCGGTGCGCGTTCACCAAATTTTGCGTTCAACCTAAACCACATAATTCTACACTGTGATAACAGAAAAATTGTAGAATTCTGTGCGTGAACAAACGTTCCATTACAACTGTAGCCTACTAAAAGCGTACAATTTTGTCTGTGGGCAGTGGAGAGAGAGAGAGAAAGAGAGAGAGGAGTAGCGCGAGAATTTCCGGGCAAAACAAAATGGCGACCCGCGTAGTTCGGCTCGATTCGAAAAGTTAAATAGCCGTAGCATCTTTGTAGACAACCAAATTAATTTACTTTTGTGTTTTAACATCATTTTTTAACTTTGTTTTGGTCAATTTGATCGTCCACACCGATAGACAGTATTCAGAAAGAGACAGAGAGAGAGAGAAGAGGGGAGGAGTTGATCTTGCGAGAACTTCCGGGCGGGTGAGAATAGCCACTTTCATTCTGAAATTAGGAAAAACAGGTCTTGTTTCACACCAGGTGGGAATAGCCAAACGCTGGCAAGTCTCACCCGGGGTGAGAGGTCGATCGTATTTTTATTCACACCCCGGGTGAGGATAGCCACTTCCCTTAGCCTTAAAGAAACGCCGGAAAGTTTGTACTTTTTTTGTCTTCTGCCATCTGGCACTCAACCAACCGAAAACAACAATTAACCCTACCTAAAATAAAGCAATATTATAACCAAGACAAGCTTCCGGGATACTATTCCAACATAAATATTTTTTCACAAAGCACTGTTACTATGAGAAGCCCACACTTCGTCCAAAATCAGAGAAAGTGAGATTGAAAACATTGACAGAGAAACTTACTGCTCTGGGGGGAGCCATTTTGAAGTTTGACAGGAAGTACACGTAGTTCGATTTCTAACAACCATAACATAACTGTAATGCAAGAGTTCAATTTATACTGACTAAAAGGTTATTGCTTATATTATCACATTAACAGTAAATTGAATAGTCAAATATATACATCTAAGCTATCAAATATTTATTAATCTAAAGAAAAGAGAACCATCCCAAAAATAAACACCTAATTTTTATTTTTATTTTGTGTATTAATCGGAAGTCGTGTATATTTTACATTTTTCTGGTATGCTGAGTTGTTGTAGTTGTGCTATGGCGATCAAAACAAACGGACCGGTGTAAACCTGCTCTGTTTTCTGGTGTCTGAGGGTCGCAATTTACATTCCAAGCATATTTGTAGAAATTCAGTTTACTTACAGTGTATGGTGAGTGTATAGATCTAGATGATTTCACGATTCATTGCCAATCCTTTGGAAGTGTCTATCCTCACCCGGGGTGAGAATAAAGTAGACTAGACTCTAGATTCTAGTGTCAATTGCCACCGAGTGACGCGGTGGCAATTGACAAAAATTGACTTTTTGTCAATTTCCACCAAGTAAATTGGAGCTCTTTTGCGTTAGTGGGTAGATTTAGCATATCATATGGCCACCTCTATTCTCACCCGGAGTGAGAATATGAATAGTGCAGGCGAGTCTTGTGGCTATTCTCACCCGGTGCGCGTTCACCCTAAACCACAGAATTCTACACTGTG